AATATTTTTAATATTTAGAAGTTAAATTACTAACCCCTTTTAAGAAATAAGAAATTAATTTAGATATTATTATTAATCTTTATAAATTAGAAGTAGAATTTATTTATTTTTTAGTAGATTTTTAAACTTTTAATCCTATTCTTTTTATTTTAGATCTATAAAATAAATAAGAAGTCCTTTCCTTTTTCTTTTAAGATTATAAACTTTAAAACTATAGAGTTATATAGCTATAGTAGCTCTATATACCCTTAGGCGTATATACGCTGCTACGTTGTATAGCTCTCAGCTACTAGGCCTATAACTATTTCACTATAACGTTTAAAAACTCGTCACTATCTTTTTCCTAATCATTCATATTTCCCCCTTATGGATTAGTCCCCATCTTCATCGCCAGTAGCCAGATGTAGCACACCCCTTTTATGTTAACAAATTCTCCTCTTTGCATGAGCGGTCGGTTTCGTTGACCGATCGCCAATCAGGCCGGTAGGGATACTGTATGCCGAGTACCGAATGCCGGATACCCACTGCTGGAACAGGACGACGGGCGGTGTGGACCAAGATTATCTTGCAGAAAGAACGCCGTAGAGGATATATTACTGGGCTTTGAAAAAAAAAAAAAAAACCAGTAGATTACTATCCATGCTTTACTTTGTCTGCTGTAGCCGCGATACTTGCGACATTTGTTTTATCGTGGGAATTAGCCAAAATGCCTTTATCAAAGTTTCACGTACCACCGTCCATCTCGACCGTCAATGTCCGAGTGATTGACTCGACATCCCAGGTTAGCTGCAGCATCGAAGGCATGGTATCGCATACCATCAAAGGTCACACCTGGCTTCAATGTCCCGCCTATGTCTTTCTGGTGGAACACCCGTCTTCTGGTCGCAAGCTTCTTTTCGATCTCGGAGTACGCAAGGACTTCGAAAACCTAGCCCCGCCCATTCAGCAATGGTTCAAAGAGAGCGGCACAACTTGCAGCGTCGACAAAGACGTTAGAGATATACTCGAGGAAGGTGGGATTCAAGCAGACGAAATCGAAGGCATTATCTGGAGCCACTGGCACTGGGATCACATCGGGGACCCAAGCAGATTCCCGAAAAGCACCGCCTTGATAGTAGGACCGGGTTTCAAGAAGATCCTAACACCGGGCTACCCTACCAACCCGGGCGCACCTCTCTTGGATTCCGACTTCGCCGGCCGCGAACTTCGTGAACTAAGCTTCGCCGAATCCGCCATCAGAGTCGGCGAATTCCCCGCCATTGACTATTTTGGCGACGGAAGCTTCTACGTCCTAGACGCGCCAGGCCATACCGTTGGTCATGTCAACGCTCTTGCGCGGGTGACTACCAATCCAGATAGCTTCATCCTCATGGGCGCGGACACTTGCCACCACAGTGCCGAGATGAGACCGTCCAAATATCATCCTCTGCCCGACGAGATATCGCCACATCCGTTTCTTCGGGGGAGTCAGATGCCTTGTCCTGGCGCACTTTTCAAGCCTATCCTCCAGGAAGAAGACACGACTAAGCCGTTTTATGGCGTTCATCGACCTGGTATGCTCTTCGGCGACCCAGATGCCGCCGAAGAGACTGTCGACCGGATCATTGAAGCTGATGGAAGCGGCAACACTCTTGTTGTGATCGCGCATGACAGCCACTTGAAGGACGTTATTAAGACATTTCCGGAGTATGCGAATGACTTCTTGCGACAAGATTGGGCTCGGCAGAGTAGATGGTTATTCTTGAGTGATTTCAAGGATGCGGTTGATGTGGGTCAGAACGAAGAGCCGTAAACTCGATGCGGACACAGAGGTTTTGCAGTTCTTCTTCACACAACTTGACATAGAGTAGAATAGAAAGAGATTTAAAAAGATCGATTCAAATAAAAAGATATCCAAATAACCATTGGACACCTTAACGATGGATTTGATGTGATGCTGCAGACTGCCATGGCTCGTCGCACTTTCAATCAATACCAAGATGCAGAGTGATTTAAGTGAATGAAAGAAGCTACCAGAATGGATCTGAAATGAATGATCGCTGAGATCAAAATCCTTGCTAGAGTCTATTGTCAGAATTTCTGTCCCAGATGCCCAGGATCCAGCCACCATAGTCTTGGAATTCTTCCGCTTCCAGCAGTATGCCTGACTGTGGGAGCGACGTCATCATACATGACTGCTTGTGTTAGTATGTGTGATTTACTGCCACGAATAAGAAGTAAATAGTACAACCATTTCTTGTCTTCCTCCTATGTTGCAGCGTAACCATCACCGACCCCGTTTTATACACAACCAACCTGAAAATCTTTGGGAAGGATTATTAAACATTGTTGTAGTCCGAGGTTGACGTCTCTTCCTTCATGTGTGGACACCTCTTCTGGAGTTGACATTCTCGGCTCGTGGACCAATCGGCTGTTTCGATGAATGGCAGGCTTCGTACTCGCAGCCGCTGTGGAATGCGGAGCTTGTGCGGCTTCCCAGGTCCTTGGCAAGTTGGTCCGAGTTGGACTTTTTACGGTTGAACGCAATTATTGTCTAGCCAAAGTGTTTGGGTCATGTCCTCATTCGAGTAGAAACATCTGGGTTGAAACCACCAAGGAAGTCGCAACAAAGACTTGTCAGATGAAAGGCTCCACGAATGAATCTCAATCATAGAAACTAAAGAACGGAGGCGGGATTGCTGTCAATCCGTCGGGCAAATTGACTGAATGGAAACAGGGCGCCTTTAGTAGCTTCGGCTCCCACGCCGGCTCCCACGCTAGCATTGGTGGGTAAGGTTGAAATAGCAGTCTGATTCCTGCGGGCTCGGCACTTGGACATCCCTACATTTCATCATCGTCGGCTCGAACTCTAACATGGATTCTAGAACGGCTAGAACGGTGCGAGAGCGTGCCAACGTCGTGTGCGTTGAATGTCATTCTAGAAAGGTGTGTCGTCCCCAACGTATACTTTAATATCTGCGAGAAACCGTTGTCTGACCACCGTATGGCCAGGTCAAATGCGATCTCCAAAGCAGTCCAGATGATAAATGCCGAAACTGTCGCCGCTCTGGTGTCCAATGCATGCAAGATTGCCCCATTCTCTCAGAGTTGCTCCACGGAGAAATGCTGACCGCGCGGCTGTTACAGTCGACGCGATGGCGTTAGAAAGAGACGGAAGATCATCACACGGCACGGTCAGGCACTACTACCGACATCGCCGACTGTGCCGATTGTGCCACTGCCTCCCTCCGGCCTCGGCAGTGTCAGTATAGAGAATGAGATTGGGGCGCAGATGATCATCCCAACGCCGTCTTCCGACTCCAGCACTCGGACCTACCAGTCGGAAGGATTCATTTCCCACAGCTCCGTCCTGTCATACGACTCAATCACCCAGCCAATGGCCATGCATGATGGCCTTCAGCCACGGATTCTCCAGGCTAGAGATATCATTTTGGGCGCGACACAGGCGAATATCCTCCCAGCTCCATCGCTGAGAAAAGCTTTGACGGACAGCTTCATTGAAAATGTCCTTCCTTACTGTCCCGTCGTTGATTGCAAAGACCTCGCGGACGAGAACTCGTCGATCCTGCTTCAGTTAGCGGTGTGTCTCGTCGGCAGCCTCATGCGTCATGATTCCAGCAGCCTGCAACTGAGTTATTCCCTTTACGAAAAGATTCAAGCTCTACTTTACATCGATTTCGAAAATGATAATATGACCCTGCTGAAGACGTTCTGCCTTCTGTCATGCTGGGCTCCAGCCTCTCCGTATCGGGTTACGCTTCATGGGCCGTGGCATTGGACAGGGATGGCAGTGCGGTTAGCGACGCAAATGGGCGTGCATACGCAGTCAAGTTGCGCAGAAAACGAAAACGCCGGATGTCTTCGACGGATCTTCTGGTACTTGAACGTGCGTGCATCCTTCCCTTTTACTCTTACTTAATGAGTCTGGCTTCTGTTTTGTGTCACTTGTTTGTTTTGGAACGAAGACCCGACGGTCACCTTTAACATCTCTTTCTACAATCCAAGTTCAAACGAAGCACTTTTTTCCATCTAACTGAGACTTTTCACTGATCTCCCACAGAATACTGAAACACTTATGGTTGCCTGTTGGGGCCGCCCGCGTTCTCTGAAGCTGGAGGATTGTGACGTGCAGCCCCTCGCGGCTTCAGACTTCGCCGCTGAAGGTGTATCTGCCATGGTTTCTCTTCATTTCACGAGACTGATGAACGTTGTTCGTATTGTTGCAGAATTGAACACCAAAAAGGGGGTCCCCTCTGAGCATGAAGTTGAAGGAATAATAGCATCGCTATGTAATTGGTATCGAGGTCTGCCAGAGGAGTTGCGACTTCACAACCAAAACGGAACCCGAAGACCATTTCACCGTCTCACTTCGGAGTTACATATCCACTATTTGACGACGATCATACTCATTCAGATGCTCAGCAAAGACCGCCATTCCCCGTGGCGGACTTCCCCCGCCTCTATTGTGGCAGCGTCTTGCGTTGCTCATCTGTACGAAGAAATACACTGCAGAGAACAAGCCGTTCATCTGCTCAGTATCAATGGATTCTTGGCTTTAGTTGCAGCAATTGTGTTGGTTTTCCAGCGCCCGCAGTCGCCAGAGAAAGAGGTCATTCGCAACAATGGCGTCGATAGCATTTGTTCCGTGCTACGCACCATGTGTACCAAGTATGGCGGGCCGAGATCAGTGCTCAAAAGGGTTCAGGGGCTTCAATTGAATGCTGAGGGTAGGGAGCCTCCCGCCAATTACCACCAGAACGATGGCCCTGCGTCATGCGCCCCGTGGGTAGCAAGGGCTGTCAGCAAACATGTTGATGACCTGTTTCCCTTTCCGCGTAGCCTTTGCGAGAATATGGTCATTTTGGGTCTAGCGGAAATACAGTCGGACGATCTGTCAGTTCATGCAGCAGGAGCCGCGGATTCGATGCCTTTTGAGCAAATGTCAGACTCCGGGTTTTCGTTGATGGACATTCTGGAAATGGATTTCGATGTCTTTGAAACCATGAATGGCTGCATATAGGTGCACTGCCATAATGTCCAGATATTTAAAGATTCAGGGCGTTTCAAATCTGGTGTGTCCAATGAAATTCATGCCTCACCTTTAACTTTTTGGGATCAAAAGGCTGCGTGAGGCAATGGGAGGTGGATAGCTCGTTGCTTCGTTCTTTGTAATGATCATGCACAGTTTCCTCAGTAACTTAGAAGATGACGATGGTTGATTATAGCATCGACTGAGTTAGTGTCACAACATGAATATGACAAATTAGTCGGCAGCGTTTGAATGACGGACTTTGGCCCAGTGAGCCCCGTCCCCTGCCAATTCGCCTCGGTTATGTGATGGTTGCCGAGTGCCGATAACCACCGCCACATCTGCCGAAAGTCACGGCTATCAAGTACAGTCGAATTGTACGTGATTAACAGTCTTTTCCTAGTACTAACTAAGCTACAAATTCTTTGAGAATATACCGGCGTGCCGAGGGAGTTCATGCGGCAAACCAATGAATCCTATAGTATTTTCTCGAACTCTGAACCATCTTAGTTAGCCGAGTGGCGAATTTGATGTACCAGTTGGTTTTCAAACTCTTGCGAGTTACAGGCGCGCAGGTTATCAGGAATAAAGGTATATTATAGGAGTAACTATTCAGAAAGGTGGTCTATATCACAGGCTAATATCTATACGCGTAGCTTATATAATACTATATATTATATAATAAGTAGTAAAGCTATAGCTTAGATTAAGGGTATTATAATATACCCCCTTAAATATTATAGATAGCTAAAAAACCTATTCCTCACTACTATATACCTAAAACCTATCTAAATTTATTATATAAAATATATAAAAATAACTTTTAAAGTAATAAAGTAAATAGATAAATAAAATTAATATTTATAGTTATATTTATAGAATATAAGAGTACTTAATAAGGTTACTTAGTTATTAAAGTAAGTTATAAATATATTTAGAATTAATAAAATTTCCTAATATAGTTAGTATAAACTATTAAGTATAAGTAGTAGAGGTAAATAAAACCTCTTATACCCTCTTATAATTAAATTTTTCTTCCTTAGACTACCTATAGTTTATAAAAGTAAGTTTTTAAAAATCTTAAATTACTTATTATAATACTTATATATTATTAAAATAATTATTAGATTAATTAATATAATTATTAGAACTTTTACTAACTATTTAATAAATAGAATTTATAATACCTATCTCTAAGAAGAAAACTACTACCTATATATATAAAGTATATAAGTATAAGAAAGCTACTACTAATATTACTACTATTATTACTAATAGCCTCCCCCCTATCTCTAATAATAATAATAATAATAAAGAACTTATTATACCTCCTAGCCCCCTTATACCTCCCCCCCCCTATCCCCCCTATCCTATTATTAAGGAAATTAAAAATAAAGGTAAGTATAATACCCTATATATATACTATCTAAAGTATTTTAGTTATTAGAAGTATTATACTAATTATTTAGAAATAGCTCCCTAAAGACCTCTCTACTATAAGGTTCCTTATAAGGAGTACCTTAAGTTTACCCTTATAGGTAAGACCTAAAGTTATTATTATAACCTTATACCTATAGTTACTAATACCTCTAGTATAAAGTACTATAAGAAGAATTAATATATATTATATACCTCTACCTCTTATAGCTACCCTTATATCCCTCTAATACTTATTATAATACTTTTTACTTATTACCTCTAAGAAGTTATAAAGTCTAACTCTACTAACTAAGCTATAAATATAATACCCTTTTAGAAATATCTCTTAACTTTAGAAGTAGTTTTTAAGTTTTAGAAGCCCTTTTTAATCTATTACTAACTTTAAATATAGGATCTTAATTACTAGAGAGCTAATATTTAATATACCCTTACCTTTATTTAAAGTAATATTACTAAGGCCTTTACCCTTACTATACTTATTCTTATACCTCTAGTTACCCCTATTCTTATACTTACTCCTCCTCTAGTTCCTATTATACTTATTATATTTACTACCCCTCCTATTATATCTACTACCCTTAATATTATACTTATTATCTTCTCTCTACCTAATAGTAAATAAAAAGTCCCCTTTAACCTTATTATAGTTAGTAGACTCCTTATAGCTACTTTAGCTTAATACTAATAAAGCTAGTTAGATATATTTACTACTACCTCTTATACTTATTAGAGCTAAGCTTTATTATTAAATTTAGAGGTTTTTATATATATTTAAAACTTTAGCTTAAAATAATATTTACTTTTAAGCTTTTTAAACTTACTTTTAGGTTCTTATAAACTAAATTAAGCTTCCTAGTTATAAGGTTAAATATAGACTTTCTAGTTACTATACTACTTTATTTCTTACTATTCCTACTTTATATCCCTTATAATAAATATATATATATCTACTAGGTTTAGTAGTATATAAAAGTATTTAAACTTACTTCTAGAAAAGTTCTTTATAAAACTATTAGTAGATATTAAGTTTATAGGTATATAAGCTATATTAAAACTACCCTTTTAGAACTCCTATTATAACTATATGTTCTAAATATCTATATAGTAGAGATATATTATAATATATTCTCTATTACTAACTATAAGTTATATTATTTATTAATTATTATAGTTAATCTTCTAAGTATTTTTTCTTATATTTAATACTATATTTTAGAAAAATCTTTTAAGTACTATTATTTTTTTTATAGTATTCTTAAAGCTTAGAAGCCTTACTTCTATTATAAATATTATAATAGTATTTTAATATATAGCTTTCTAATATATTATACTTTTAAAGAGGAATATAATATATTTTTAAACTAATCTTTATATTTCTTTATTATTAATAAATAAGGTATTACCTATAATTTAGAGAACTTATATACCTCTTATATCTCTAAAATAAAGAATAAGGAAATATATTATATAGAGGTATTAGATTATCTAATTAACTACTATTATATAAGCTAATAAAGGATTTATAAGGAACTATAAGAGATATATAGCTATAAAAGCTATATCTAGATATATTATTATTACTAAATAAAGTATAGAACTAACTTTCTCTTAATACTCTTTTATATATATAGAAGAGTTTATTCCTAGTTCTTTTTAAGTTCCCTAAAGGGTAATAAAGTTATAAGATATATTCCCTCTTAAAGATTAAAATACTTAGTAACTTTCTTAATATATAAATTATATACTAAATAAACCTTCTAAGCTATATAATTTCTAATTATTTAGATCTTAAAATAATACTTAATAGCTCCTTAGTCCTTAAGTTTATATTTAGCTTTTAGTTTATTAATAATTTATTTTATTTTAGAGGAGTAATCTATAAAATAAGAATATTATCTATATAAAATAAAACTAAAACTTAATATTTAGGATCCTAAAAGAAATATACCTATTCTAAGTTTAAGGTAAGTCTTAGCTTCTTTAGAGTTACTAAGAAATATTTATACTAAAGGAGAGGTATATCTCTAAAACTATATAAAGCTTTATTAAGCTTTATATACTTTCCTTTATATTTAAAACCCTTTAGAAGTTAATAATAAATTAGAGGTTTATTTAGATCCCTCTCTATATTTAGGAAAATATTATTTATATTAAATTACTATACTTTAAGATTAAACTAAGTAGTTAGAGCTATTATAATATAAAATGTTTTTATAATAAGAGTTACTATATATATATTTTCTAAAATACTCTTTTTCTAGAGGTCTCTTTATATATAGATCTTAGTTTTAAAATACTTTAGATTACTATTTATATTAACTTTATATATAAAAACCTATTTTAAAAGTAGAGGTTTTAATTATATAGATTATTAATTAATTTTTTACTATATTCCTTTTTCTTATAGTTTTTTAATTTTAAGTTTTACTACCTCTATAAAGTATTTATATAGATATTTTAGGAGTATTAGAAGTTCTTTTTAGTTTTAAAGAGGTAATTAAAACTTAAATATATATATATCTTACTCTAAATCCTTATTATTATACTCCTATTTCTAACTTCTAATATAACTTTATATATATAAGTAAAGTATTATATATTTAAAAGAACTTTTTTCTACTATTTTCTTTATATTTAATATAAATATTATAAAGAAGGCCTCCTAAGTATATTAATTCTTAATAAGGAGGACTTTTTCTTAGTATTTAATTTTAGAGAATAGCTATTCTAATTTATTTTTCTTATTAGTTATATTAGAATAGGTCTTTAAGATATTATTAATAAATAAAATAAAGTCTCTAAATTACTCTAGAGATTATTAATTATATTAGCTTAAATAGCTTACTTTTCTATAATCTTTTTAATTATAAGCTCTCTTTAGAGCCTCTTCTAAACTTTTTACTTTATATACTTAGTTTATAATTCTATATATTCTATCTTTTAATTTAGAAAGGTCTTTAGGAGGTATTAATACTTTTTTTTCTTTATCTATATTTAGTATTAATATTCTAAATTAAATTTAAGGTCTACTATTTTCACTCTAATTTTTATTAAGAGTAATATAAATATTATTATCCCCCTCTAAAATATTTTTAATTTCTTTAGTTTATTTATAAGATTTATTATTAGATATATTTAGTATATTAGTTTCCCCTCTTTAGCTCCTAATTATAACTTAAGGTTTTAGAGTTTATTTAGGAGTAAGAAGATCTCTTAGAAACTCTTTTTAGGTCTCTTTATATATTATAATATCTTATAACTATATAATTAAAGTCTCTTACTTTTTAAGAGTATCTTCTATTATATTATTAGCTTATTCTTATATACCTAAAAGCTTAAGTACTAAGTTTAAAAATAACTTAAACTTTAGTTCTTATTTAATAATATAATATATAATCTTAACTAGTATTACTATATATTTATTCTCTTTTAAATAGAACTTTAACTTATTAAACTATATATTATATATTATAATTACTCTCTTAAGTATAAGTATTTAGATCCTATATAAGTTATATATATTATTAATATACCTAACTAGGTATCTAATATATCCCTATAGATATACCTTATAATACTTTCTTCTTTATCCTTTTTCTTATTCCTTTTTAAGTAGGTATATATAATAACTATATATATATATCTATCTTTAGTATAGTTAAAAATCTCTCCTAATTATAGATATATAGAAAGGGACTTACTACTAGAAGTATTAAGTATACTATTCTTCTTTAATTTAATTTAGTAACTTCTAATTAATCTTTTACTATAAGGATTAGTTAAAAAGATAAATCCTTATAAGAGTTAATTCTAGCTATATTTCTAAGGGAAGATTAGCCCCTTCTTATATCTTAATACTTCTTAGGATTACCTCTTAGTTAGTACGCTCTAAACTACTTACTAGCTCCTTTATATCTACTAAAAGTATCTTAAATATAATTCTATTATTTTTTACTTAGTATTAATAATATATACTATTATTAATAGTAATTATAGCTATTTTATTATCCTAATAGATAATATAAATCACTAATCTATATTACTTTTTAATCTATTATTTAAAGTAGAAGAGTACTATAAAGACTTCTTTAAATAAGTAGTATATTAAAAAGAACCCCTATAACTTACTTAAGTATTTATCCTTAATAATTAAGATATAAAAAGCTCCTAAGATCACTTTAAAAAAGTAATAAAAGATATCTTAGAAGATATAATAATATAGATAAATCACTTTATTTTCTAATTTTAAATATAAGATAACCTTCTTTATATAAGTTCTAGTATATATTTTATATTATATCTATATTAAGCTATATATCTTTACCCTCTAAATATTTTTAACTATATATTTAAGAGCCTTAAGGTCTAAATAGCTAGAACGAAAATACTATAAGTATATATTATCTAACTAATCTCTATAATAGTTATATATATCTTATCTATAAGGGGCTTTTATTAGTTAAGTTATAGTAATAATATATATAAAACTTACTAATATACTTTTAAGAAGGTATAAAGAAAAGAGGTTATATTTAAAGAAGACTAAATTATACTTTTAGATTAATATAATAATAACTATACTTTAAATAAGGTTTCCTATATATAAAATATAGTTAAGTCTATAAAACTAGATCTTCTATATATTAAGTTAACTTTTAGATATAATATTAATATAAAAACCTTTAATATAAGTAATATCCTTAAGTATAAGGTTACTTAATACTTATTTATCTTAGTTTTTAAAAATCCCTTTAAGAATATAAGTTCCCTAGTCTAAAACTAAAATCTAAGTTATACTTACTTCTATAATATCTTCTAAACTAAACTCTATATAGAAGTTATTTAGTAATAGTAATTTATTATTAATTAAATATATAGTATTATAGTTATTATAAACTATATTATATAAGAAGATATATAGTAAAGTAGAGGTATTAAGTAAATATATCCTTAATATAAATACTTTAGGAAGACTTTATAAATTAATTACTATAGTTATAATATTAGATAGGACTTTAGTATTTAACCTCTAATTAGATTTACTATTCTAATTACTTCTTCCCTTATAGTTTTTATACTATTAGTTCTTTCTACTATATAAGCTACCTCTTCTATAATTAGTATTACTTATTTAGTTTAAAATCTATCCTTTATATATAATTATAGCTTTAATATTTATCTACTTACTTTAATTAAGTCTAAAAAAGATTTTCTAAGTTTTATTATTATCTATAGAGATCTAATAGAACTTATAGAACCCCTTATAAATATATTCTAAGTATCTATAAATCTTAAAAGTTTAAGGATACTCTTCTCTATATAAGTAGCTATTAAGATATATATTAGAGAGGTTATTAAACCTCCCTCTTAAAGTAATAAATAATATATTTAATCTCTAAAACCTCTTAATAAGTAAGTACTTATAAGCTAAAACTAAGAAAATAATCTTATATTACTTTAAAGTATATATTAGAAACCCTAAACTAATATTTATAATAAACTATATAAATTTAATATAAACTTAATCTAAAATAAGTTAATATCTAACTATTTTAAAGAAGGTTTATAATATAAATTCTCTTTAGATCTCTAAGATATTAAGTCTCTTTACTTCTATATAGTAATAATACTACTCTATATATTAAATAGAGAGGTTAATATTTAAATTAGCTTTCTTAAATAAATAAAGATAGTTCTTATAGATTATATTAATAACTATAAGTATAATAAATATAAGTTATCTTTTAATTTTATATATAAATACTTATAAAGTTACTTCTAATTAAATTTTATTATTTAAAATAATTAATTTAGTATTAATTAGAATAAGGTTTAAAACTATTTTATTAATTTATATTTAGAGGTTAAAGTAATATATTAAGAGGGTTTATTAATCTAAAGAGGTTACTATATAATCCTTAACTACTATATTATATTCTAACTTAATATCCTTATAAATAGTAGTTTAAGGTATTTATAGAGATTTTAAGAGGGAGGATAATCCTCTTAACTTATTAAGAATAATATTTATTTCTTCCTCACTTCCTTAGATCTCTATAATTAAATAGGTATTCTCTAGTATATTCTTAGTAACCTCTATTAGATATTTAACCTCTTCTAAATATTACTTTATTTACTTATTATATTCCTCTTAGTATTTTATATTTAAAAAGGTTTAATACTTAGTAATAAATTTAGAGATCTTTAGAACTATAATTACTTATAAAAAGTTAGTATAATTATTTATATCTAAGTTAATATAGTCCTAAAAGCTTCTTAAGTATATATAAAACTTAAAATAGGTATACTATATAGGTTAATTACTTCTTAATATAAGAATATCTCTTATAAGGGGAATTTTATTATTAATAGAGGATATAATAGATAAAGATAATAAAAGAATTAATAAAAAGGATAGGAATAGGTTTCCTATATATAACTTATAGTAGAAAGGTAATTTAAACTATTAATAGAGCTAGGTTTATAACTCTTATAAATTATAGGTATATAGGTTATTAGGAATAAAGGTATATTATAGGAGTAACTATTTAGAAAGGTAGTCTATATTATAGGTTAATATCTATATATATAGCTTATATAATACTACACGTTATATGACAGGTAGTGAGGCTGTAGCTCAGATTGAGGGTATTGCAATATAAACTAATATGTTTTAAACTAAACGTAGAGCTAACTCCCTTTAGAACCGCCAACTAATTGCAGCTCCCCATACATATAAAGGGGACGCGATGCCAGAAGATATATGACTCACAGAACCCATCAGCCTACGCATGAATAAACTGAGCACCTATTTCATGTCATCTTAACAATTTACAAACATGTCTAATCTCATTGTGGTCATTGGCGCAACCGGTGGTCAGGGTGGAGGAGTTGTCAACGCCTTTCTCAACGAAGCAGGGTGGAAGGTGAGAGGTACCACAAGAAACACCTCAAGCGAAAAGGCAAAGGCACTCTCCGCGAAAGGCGTCGAAGTCGTTTCTGCAAATCTCAATGACGAAGAAAGTCTCGAGAAGGCTTTTCAAGGCGCTACGGCAATTTTTGCATTCACCGACTACTACGAGACGTTCTTCGAATTGGGAGATGAGAAGTCTCTGGAGCTGGAGTTTGCCCAGGGCCAGAGGATTGCACGTGCAGCAGCCAAGAACCAGTCGCTTCAAAGACTCGTGTTTAGTTCTGGGCCTCACACAAGCATGATTACCAATGGAGAGGCGATCTGTCCTCATCTTGAAGGAAAGGGGCGCATTGTCACGTATGTCACGCAGGAAATGCCAGACCTTGCCGCCAAGACAACATTCGCTGTTTTCACCGTCTTCGCCAACAACGCATTGCTCTACGACATTTTCAAGCCTATCTACGTGGTAAGTGGATTGACCTTCACCGCTTGATGTCATCAAGACATGTGCTGACCGACCTGAAGCCAAGCGCCAAGAAGTATGTCACCTTGTATCCAACGCCTCCCAGTACACCATACCCATGCGTTGGGGATCCTGCAATCAACGGGGGCATCTTCGTTCGACGACTAGTGAAGAGCCCACCGCCTCCGGGCTCCTTTGTTCGATGCAACGTGGAAACTCTGACCATGGAGTCTTACCTCGCCGCCTGGGGGCGAGCTACCGGCCTCGCTCCGGAAGATGGGTCGACTGCTGCCGTGCAGATTTCTCCCGAAAGCTACGTTGAGCTTTGGGGTTCGATGGCGCAAGAGCAGCTTTCTCAATGGAAATTCTTCCAATGGCTCCACGACAATTATCCCCCAAAATGGGAAGGGATTACGGTGGTGGAAGGAATGGATCTCTTAACTGACGAGGACAAGAAGGAACTTCTGAGTGTCGAGGAGTCGCTTAAGCGGTACGACTGGAGCGTGTTCGAGAAGAAGCCAACTGCTAAAGCCGTCACTGGTTGGTTCTCTACCTAGGCAAAAGCTCAGAAAGCCCCAAATTGTAGGAGCGCCATATGAAGCGATAACTGGCCTGTCGGATTCGTATCATTGCTTTACAAAATCACTCTCTATCCACAATGCTGCGAGCGTGAAGACGTTCTAATGAAAGGTACCGAATCATACATAAATGTTCGAGAGAGGTCGGGGACTGTTGCTGTTCTGACTCCAATGTAAACATTGCACGTGTCCCCGACGATCAGAAGAGTCATCTCATTTTCCCCCAACCTGCTGCTGAACTTCGGACTTCACGATGACTCTATTATCTCCAGTAGTAGGAATAATGGCCTCCTCGCTGTCATTTCCTGACTCGGTTCGAGTGTCAATGTCGAAGCCCTCGTGAACAGTTGAAGAGAAATTAGTTTTGTGACCTCTCTAATGACTCGATAAACTTGACAGTGGGTGCGAATTGTAGGCTCTCGTGCCTTCCGGCCCATGATTCCCTAGCTGATATTGACATTGTGAGCCGCGTGACCCGAGAAGCGACGGGCCTGCCATGAGGCCCACGGATATTTTAAACCCAATTGGAATCAGGACCAGGTGTGCTGCCGGGTTTCCGAAGACAACATACACAAATTTGCTATTCTTGGAGAGGACAGAACTTTCAAAAGACTTTCAAAAGAAGATCTCTGACTTCTACCCTATTACTCAAGAATGCTAGGTGGGAACATACAAGACATTGACAGCATGGATTGGCTGTACATATGAGTAGACAATTCCCAAGGGCGGAGATCTTTTAGCTGCAGACAGCCTACTGTTCCCGTACACAGTCGAGTTGGTGTTACAATCAAATTGTGCCGCTCCACATCACGATCGCTAGAGGCGATGTTTCTTCATCTCATGATGAACCAGGGGCGGCCAGGTCATCCCTGACTACGGCATACACCATCTCGTCCATAAAGACACCGTTCTTGAACACCGCGTTTCTAAGCCTGCCCTCAAGCTGAAACCCGCTCTTCTTCAGCAGAGCCTGGCTCGCCTTGTTCTCAGAGAACACACCAGCCCACAGCCTCTCTACCTCGGCCTTTTCCTCACCCATTCCGTCGAACATCCACTTCACGAACGCAGGAACCAACTCGCTCATGACTTTTTGCCCCCAAAATTCCTCGCCCAGCCAGTATCCCAACTCGTAACCCCGTAAATACACGTCTTTGCCGGGGATGATACCGATGCTACCCATGGCTCGGCCCGATGTGGGGCAAATGATGACCCAGCTGCGGTACGGAGGTGTCTGGTTCATTGAGATCCAACTCTCGGCGTCGGCGAGGGTGTATGGGTGCGGAAACTGGTTGCGGAGATGAACGACGACGGCCTTGGAGTTTGCTGCTTTGGCCACGGATGGTGCATCCGAAGGGTGGTAGGGTCGGAGAATGCTTTTTGAGAGGGTGAGAATAGGCGTGGGCAGATCAGATGAGGACGCCATGTTGCATGCCAAGTCGACGCGACCGAAATCTTCGCCCTGAGGTGAGTTGTCGTGAGCCCAAAAGTAATTGTCTTTGCACAATGTCAATGAACTTGGTCGACGTTTTTTCTTAAAAGACGCGAGAGAACAGTCATTCTGCGGAGGACTACTTGTGGTTTAATATGTGTCATCAAATGACTCTTCATACAAAAGTGCCGCTGTAGGCGATAAGGTAGTCAGCACGCAACGTTGCTTATCAGCCCCTGTGCAGAAAAGCACCTCATGGACCACACAATTCCTAAGTTAATTAGGAACCACCCGCCATCGTTCCCCTTCAACCGGTGCCGGCCTCCCATCGGGGCCCGGAGGGATCTTGACAGCTGGACCCCGAGAGACGGTGGTGTCAGTAAAGACTGAGGCCACACAAGCTTCCTTGGTACTGTTCCAGCCACATGCAGCAGCCACAGCGTGTGATGCGCGTATGATTTGCCCACGTGGGTAGCTGCCCATCAATCGGAGGATGCAACAACAAGCCCGGCTCAGACATTGCCTCCCCTCAGTTTCTCAGCTAGGCAATTATCTCGACTTTGCAATATCAAAGCACCATATTGTTGCGAACAAACGTACAAAAGCTACGGCCACATCATGGCTCACCTGCAACCCCACGTCGAACGTCCCCTGTACCCGGCCGGGGTTCCCAGCAAGTTCGCTCCCGACGGGGCGGTTCAGGCCTTCCCAGGAAACACCATCGTCTGTCACCTTTCCCCGTCCGATCCTCTCTACGTCTCAATGCAGAAGCTCAGCGACAAGCTCGCAGCCAGCAAGTTCGCCTCTTTGATCACCCTCCTACCAGCGACGAGCGTCCACATGACAATGTTCGAAGGCGTGTGTGATCAAATTCGGAAACCTGGATACTGGCCATCTGATCTACCCCTCGAAGCCCCTCTTGAGGAGTCCAATTCTAGATTTGAGAAAGCTCTGGGTGCATTTGATCTCGAAGATGAGCATGCGCCCCCGTACAAAATGACGGTGAGGGGGTTTGACCCACTCGAAATCGGCATCGGCGTCCGGCTTGACGGGCGCACGCCGGCCGAGACGGAGCGACTCAGATCCTTGAGGAACAGACTCGCAGACAAGCTGAAAATCCGGCACCCGATACACGATGGATATGGCTTTCACCTCAGCGTTGCATACCTGCTCCGACACCTGACAAGCGAGCAGAACCAAGAGCTTGAGGCTCTCCTACTCAGTCATCTTGAGGAGATGCCCAGGAATTTTGAGTTGGGTGCGCCGGAATTCTGCACATTTGAAAACATGTTTGCATTCAAGCGTGTCCTCTTTCTCGGGGGAGGGTCGAATTGAGGTGCGCAAGCATCGCGGGACAAGCCTGGGGTCAAGTGCTGGCGATCGTCGTCATGGATATTGTGAATGAACGAGGCAGGCGGGGCATACAGATCATCTTCAATTCTTCGTTCGCTGATGCAAAAGGGTATAATACAGTCTAGAAACATCGTCATCATCTCATGAGCAGGCGTCTTCGCTATACAATCCATGCTGACTCCGTGTAGTCCTTTGACAAGATCTGGTTGGTGTTCTTGGTGTACTTCAACCAGCAATATGGGTCATCGTTGCCCTGGTCATCCTTGTAGAGATAAACAATACCGGCGCAGCGACCGAGCTCAGTTTGCTTATTAACGTTGAAGACAGCACAGAGTCGGATGCATTCCTCGATGTTTGTGGTCGGCACCTTGCCAATGTCGTTGTAGATGTAGTCGCTGCCGCAATCCTTTTCGAAGGTAAGATTCGTTCCTGGGACTTCCCATGTCGGCTTGCTTGAGCTGGTGCCACATTCCCCCTTCTTGACAGCCGTGTCAGTTGGGGCGGGTTTACTGAGGTCGAGAACGGCGTTGGCTGTTCCGGAGGGTGTCGATGTGCTGGATGATGCGGCAGCGGCAGATGCCGTGGCTCTGCGACAACGTTAGTTCCTGTAATAAATGGAGGAAAGCCGACGAGACGTACTTTGCTAGCTCTGAGTTCTTCTGTGCTACCACAGCTCCAAGCGCACCGGCGACCGCGATCAAGGCGCAGAGGAGGAAGAGGGACACAAGCATCAAGAAGAAGGTAGGTTTGCGAAGGCCGCATATCCTCCCATCACGCGGGTCGCCCTTCTCCCCTGCCGGTGGCACGCCGACGGGGGTGTGGTTATTCGTGTAGGTTGTTTGCGTGTACTGCGTTTGTGGCGACGTCGCATGGTGGTCATAGTACGGTGCGGGTTGGTGCTGCGACTGGGGATAATACGGCTGGGGCGCGTTGTTGAAATCCATGCCCTGATTCACTTCCAGTCCGTCGGGAATGGCACCGGACTCGGGGCCCGGAGAGCCGTTCGGGTTCTTGAGCATCTTTTCGGCTTCGGGCGACACGGAGTGGCTGCTGTAACCGCTTGTTCTACCTGAGTAAAAGTGGTCGTGCGGATGCAGAGATGCCATCTCAAACACAAGAGAAGGGCGGTCGTCTGAGAATCGGAGTGGGAAGGGAGATGCTTAAATTGAAGGGTGATTCACCCGGGTAGTCCGGGGTGGGTTGACAGTGACAAGGAAGAGCAGGCAGAAATGTTTGAGGTGCTTGTAGACCGGAGAGGGATTGACAAAGAAAAAGGGCAGAAGAGACGGCGGGAGAGCAGGAGAGAGTGACTTGAAGGATTGACAAGACGTGCCATCGCGCGGATCAGGGGGTCGCGAGGGGGCTGTAAGCAGTAGATGTACTAGCTAAGCTACACAAGTCTAGGACACAATATGGACGCCAGTTCGTTCCATCCACCGTCTGGGCCGGTAGGGCTGGCGGCAAAGAGGTGGGAGGCTGGCCGGGGCCTACCTAGTCTCACGACGTAATAACGGTACCATCTTGGAATAGCATCGGGTGCTGGCAGCAGAAACTGCAATATTCGGAGAGAGGGCAAGCAATGAGGGCAAAGCAAGGCACTGCCCCTGGAAGAGACTCAGCCGCCGAAGTGACCTCAAGGTCCAATGGACGAGCTCTGTGGGATGAGATCGGCGCCAAAGATGGGCTGCTTTTGGGCGCGAAGGATCCGGACCCTTGGCCGAGCCTAGCGCTTTTTGGGGCAAAGTAAGCTTCACGAGTAACCATAATTGTGCTGCCTCAAACGCCCCCCAATTTCAGCAGTGGCCAACCGATTCTCCCCTCAGTTTGTTTTAGGCCAGTGCCGGCCGTCTGCAGGATGAATTGTGCCAGTCTTCCACCGACACTCTCTACAAAAGTACCAAATAATGGGTAGATTCTTGGGCCGTTCAAGTTCTGGTGATCCTTCCCTTATGCTCTTGCTTTGAAATGGTTTTCAGCTGGTTTCTTGATCCCCACAATAAGGCTTTGATCCGTGACAGCGTCCGAATGAGGCAAAACAACCCTGCTCACTCCATGTGCGAGGACAAGTCCGCAACATTTAGCGGCCGCCCGAGTGAGAGATGGCATCGTCCCATCACTCAATGTTGAGGCCGAGAGAGTCTGGAATCTTCGTCTACAAGACTCCGTGACTGCCTGAGGACGTAGCTATCAATTCCGCTGTGCTTCTGCGTCTCCGATTCAAATGGGTGTCCGTCATCATGGATCTCCTACGTCATGGACCTCGCCGAAGTCCCTTTGTACGGACAAGGCCATTCATCCTCACTTGCTCAACTCCGCACCAAACAAACGGTCAGCCACCAAGGCATACTTATGAAAGGACTCTTAGCTTGAGTATGTGGTAATGCGCGCTTTGAAACAAACCACCATGACAACAGGCTCCGGCCCTTAGCTAAGCCTTTGTGGCTGCCCTTAGCGAATGGTCCCGCGCCAGTCAGCATCGGATGTTGTCCGCAGGGCAACAACTTGCAACCTGGGGGCGAGGTTGGCGCTTAGCCGCCGCAATACCTGGTGTTGTCTTTCTCTGTTCAAGCGTCTTGAAATCCTTCAAAGTACGGTCGCTAAGCGCGACGCGGGCTTTCCCAGCTGTCAAAGCTTCGGCTCCGCCGTGTATCGGAAGGATCAGAGCTCCGGACCGGGGCGGGGCCAGAGTCAGCATGCGACGCGAGAAGCCATCATACTCCGCCTGGAGGAAACGACAAAGGTCGTTCTTACTACTCGATTTGCTTTTAATTCCATCTCATCTTTCGCATTGTTTTCAGCCCTGCGTGTTGCCCTGGAAACGTCGCAAATCGATTCGTCCCCCAATTTGTTAGGTTCTTGCACTACCACTTGACGAAATTACATCTCACAACATGTCGTCTTTCAATCATTCGTAGTCTCGGGCAAAGTCGGCGAACGAACACCGACGCTGAATGATCAGAATTTGGAGTCAGATCTATGTGAGTAAGTGACAGGCGGTACTCGAACTTTAACGTGCGTGACGTCAGTGTCTCCTCGCATGGCTAGTGAGACAAGCCTCAAGCCCGAGCGTGAATGACATAGGAGAGAGAGGGGCGGTCTAGAGGCTCACCCTCAGTTTCCTAAGGCAATAGCAGCGCAATTTCTGACTGTAATCGAATACACAACAACAGAAACTCTTTTGAATTACTTTATCCGTCGAGTGACAGAGAACAGCTTCGTCGAGTGTTAACATGTGTCGCTGGTTCGCGTATTTGGGAGATGAGCCTCAGCTCCTTGAGGATCTAATCCTCAGACCCCGTCATGCCGTTGTGAAGCAAGGTGAGTTCAGCCTGCAGATTGGGGGCCAGACAACATGTTAACAAGCTAAGTCGATGAGCATTTCTTGCCATCCGGTCATACTTCTTTCGATCCACAAAAGTCAATGGCCGTATCCGCTGCCAGTGACACTGGCTCTCCGAATGCGTTCAGCAACATGGATGGATTCGGAGTAGGATGGTTCTCAACCGTCGAGCAAGAATTCGCGACAGGAGAACATGGCCGTGGGAAAGAGTTGCTTCGGCCTATCGTGTACACCAACATCCGTCCGCCCATGAACGATCTCGTTCTCCAGAGTATTGCCCGCGGCACCAGCACGACAGCGATCATTGCCCATGTCCGAGCCGCACCGGGGCTAACGCCCGTGGTGCAGACGAACTGCCACCCGTTCACCTTCGGACGGCATCTCTTCGCGCACAACGGCATCGTAGGCGCTTTTGCCTCGATCCGAACGCCGCTTCTTCAGTATCTCCCACTGAGGTACCAAACGGCGATTCTTGGCACCACGGATGCTGAGCATTTGGGGGCCCTGTACATGTTCATGCTCTGCGGGGAAGAAGGGGACTGGACGTCACTGTATGGCGTCCATCAATTGGCGGAAGCGATGAGGAAAACAATCGTTATGGTCGAGAATATGCAGAAAGAGTTTGCGGGAAACTCAAAGGTCGAAAACACCCTGAATCTAGTCATCAATTCTGGCTCTGAGATGGTTGCTCTGAGATACGCCAGCCCAGCCGGTGTAGAGGCTCCGAGTCTATACTATTCTATGAAGGCAGGGTCCACCATGAACAGAAAGTACACTGGGCATCCGGACGACACCAAGGGTGATGGTAGTCTTGACGAAGAGAGGGATCTTTACGCGAAGGATGATCATGGCCGCCATGCCATCGTGGCCAGCGAGCCCAGCACCCTCAACCAAGATGAGTGGGACCTGGTTGAGCCGTCCCAAATGGTTTTAGTTGACGAGAACATCCGTCTGAAGGTGGTAGACATGTAAAATAGCTACTAGCTCACATCTAGGGGCCACAATATGGCCAATCCCATCATTCCTTTCTTTCAATTAGCCTCCGTTAGCTTTGTATGTGGTTTCATTCCGTTAACTCGCGTGCGTCAAGAAGCTGGCCCACCTGGTTCCATACGCTAACATGAGTTCTTCCGCAACCCCATCTCATCCTTTCGGTCGATCCCATGAAGTCGCGAAGATATTCATGTGTTATGTTCTCGTGCATATAGGGCTGATGGCCAAGACTGTTGTGCCCTTGACATGCAGCACCTCCGCGGGGACTTCATATCACGCAAGTCGGAACACTGCTCCGGAAGCTTGTCTTGTGTTTCCAGCATCACACCAGCCTATTCCCAGCCGAAAGTCCGACAATGTCCACGAATCATACGACCGCAGCCAGCATGTTTAGCGAACAATTATGGAGACAAAAAACCCGCTCAATAGGACGGCCGGACGCGAAATGGAATTCAATAGCGCAGAAAGCTTTCCATCAAGACATCCAGACCAAAGCAAGCGCTCAGTCGCGCCCCAAGCTAACTGCAAACGTGGTAGTCTTCCCGGCCGCGATACCAGGATTGGCAACGCGTGTCAAAGTCTGCGCGTTCACCATCCCTTATCAATCAATCTAATCAGATGATGCCATCTTCTGTGATTGGTGCTCGCTTCACGATGCTCCCACCATCCACCCTTCTGAAGTCGGCAACCCGGCATCGGAGGCATCGCCAAGCATGTTCAGGACCCGCAAAATGGCCCCTACCCGACCCGAAGGATCGTCTTCCCTTCCCGTGTCCTCGGGTCGCGCCAAGCACTAAACGATTTCGGTGCTTCTCGACCGCGATGTTCGGATGGCGTCCCCTCATCATTCGTGGTGTTGAAGGAATACGCGTGGGTCGACGGCCCTTTACGTAAAGCGCTAGGCTCAAGATGCATGGTTGGCGTCCCGAGGTGGGTTGAGAGACGGTGGCGCGAAAGTTCTTCGTCTGCCCGCCGCTCACTTATTATATCTGACTTGCCCGCTCCCTTTGAGACACATGGTTCGTTGTTCCCTGTTGGCCGTCCATCCGCGCAACAATGGCAGTGTTCTCGAAACTCCAGGAGGCCCTCGGCCGCAAGCCTGCCAATACCGAAGACGAGATTGTCGCGGCTTCGGAGCCAGTGGACGATGCCGCTGTCAGGGAAGCCGCTGATATCCCTGACGAAAAGATCGTTGAAGATCTCCCCAGCGAGAATGTGCAGCATGGTGTCAAGCTGGCGCAAGCTTTGTCTCTGACCTGGGGTAAAGAGTCGCTGATTGCCATCTTCATCTTGTAGGAGTCCTGAAGCACCCTTGCTCACATCTGGGCGATAGTCTGACACACATTCTAGCATGTGGTTGCTCTACCTCACCAATGGATTCCAGAGCTCGGTCCTCAACAGCTTGACGCCGTATGCAGCCAGCGATTTCGAGTCGCACTCCCTGCTCCCGGTTATCGATATCGTATCAAGCGCAATGACGGCCTCGGTCTACATCCCTTTGGCCAAGATCTTGGATCTTTGGGGTAGGGCGGAGGGTTTTCTCCTCATGGTCATCTTCGCTACGTTGGGAATGATTCTGCTGGCTGGCAGCCAGAACCTGGCGACCTACTGCGCAGCCACCGTAAGATTCAACCATCGAAGGTTGACAACGATGTTAATGTGATCACAGGTATTTTGGCAACTTGGCTGGTCCGGCCTTACCTATAGCATCGATGTCATCACAGCCGACTCCACGAACCTGAAGAACCGAGGGCTTGCCTTCGCATTCACCTCGTCTCCTTACATCATCACTGCTTTCGCTGGACCGAAATCCGCCGAAGGCTTCCTTGATAACGTCAACTGGCGCTGGGGCTTTGGCTGCTTCTCCATCGTTTTGCCCGTCGTTGCCGCTCCTCTGTATGGCATTCTCAAGTGGAACATCCACAAGGCCAAGAAAAGAGGTGTCTTGGTCCGTGAACCGAGTGGCCGGTCGTTCTTGCAGAACATCTGGTGGGCGCTTGTGGAATTTGATGGTATGTATCAAGGATTACGCGTCAGTGCTACACCGGACTAACTTGCCACTCTTTAGTCCTCGGAGTCGTTTTGTTTGCCTGTGGCCTCGTCACTTTCCTTCTCCCGTTCTCTCTTGCCAGCACTGCCCCTGACGGCTGGTCCTCCGGGTATATCATCGCGATGATCGTCACCGGTTTCGTCGTTCTCGGACTCTTCCTTCTCAACGAGCTTTTCCTCGCCCCAGTACCCTTCTTGAAGTTTAAGTTCTTCGCCGATCGAACAGTTATGGGTGCCTGCGTCCTCGACATCACCTATCAAGTCGCTTACTACTGCTGGAACAGCTACTTCACCTCCTTCCTCCAGGTCGTGAACGACGTCTCCGTTTCAGAGGCAGGATACATCAGCAACACCTTCGACGTCGTCTCGGGCGTCTTGCTCTTCATCGTGGGATTCTCCATCTCCAAGACCGGCCGATTCAGGTGGCTCCTCTTCGTGGCGGTCCCGCTGTACACCTTCGGCCAGGGTTTGATGATCTACTTCCGCCGACCTGGCCAGAGCGTCGGATATCTCGTCATGTGCCAGATCTTCACCTCTATTGGCGGAAGCGTGTTCATCCTGTGCATGCAGGTCGCTATCCTTGCTGCCGTCGACCACCAGCATGTTGCTGCCGCCCTTGCTCTCCTAAGTGTGTGCGGCAACATTGGTGGTTCCGTAGGTAACACTGTTTCGGCTGCAATCTGGACAAACACCTTTGAGAGTGCCTTGGAACGGTACCTCCCTGCATCTGCCCTGGACAGTGTGGCTGACATTTACGGGGATCTCGACACTCAACTCAGCTATCCCGTCGGCAGCGATGAGCGCATCGCGATCCAAAACGCGTATGGGTATGCGCAAACAAGAATGCTGGCTGCCGGCACGTCGGTCATGATCTTTGGATTTGTGGCAATGTTCATGATCAAGAACTATAACCTCAAGAAGATGACTCAAACAAAGGGACTGGTCTTCTAGGACTGCTAGCAATCAATAGGAAGAACACTTCAGTATTAGTCAATCTTGTATTTGCAAGACCACTCCCAGAAGGTGATACCCCGCTCTCATCGCGCATCACCACAGAACCAGTCCTCGTCCATATACGAGCCCTACTGTATGCTCCTCGCATGAAACATACGTTACATACCAATGCCATTTAACAAGAACCAAAGAAATAAGGTAGGCCCTTCCAGCACCTCATCCAAATGCCGATTCTTGCCCCGTTCCCTTTCTCCAACGTCTATCGCTATTGTGCCGTATGCCGACGTGACAGACCCAATTGTCTCAATTGGAGCAGATGATTTACCAAGGCGCCTCCAAACGCTTTCGCTTGCGTCAAGCCAAAGAACCGTTGCGTAAGTGGCTACGCGCATCTGGTACAATCCTGACTGCCGTTCATTCTTCAACGTGGTCAGGAGCTTTCTCCGCAAGCTTCCTGCGCTTGATACTCTCTCGCCCGGCTTGGTTTTGTATATCGCGGGTAGCATTCAGTTGCTTGTTGTTGATTTTGAGCTGTAGGGTCAGTCAGTCAAGGAATCACAGATCCATGGGAGCACGACTTACCTTTCGCTCGGCGGCGGGGCCAGCAGCTAGTCTATGTGTCCAATCGCCTCGAAGCGCAGAGTGCAGCATGACCTTGTGGTTCTGTTCATCAGATTCGTGCGTTAGTAGTCTTCCCTCAATTGACGTTCAGGAATCAGGCAATGTTATGCCATTTTGCTCACCTGCATATTGGAGCACATTTTCTCCCAGCGATCCGCAAAGCTTTCGTATCGCTCCCATTTAGGGCAGCTGTCCCCGGTCCAGCGGAGCCTCAGCTCCCATCCCTCCTGACAGTGCATGGCAGAGTTCTGTTTCATACGTTAGATTTCGCTACCAGCACGAAGTAGTAGTCAGCACTTACCAAAAGCTTCTAACAGATGAGCTCCACCTCGACATCCGAGAGGTCACAGCGAGCAGCGGCTCGGAGGAGATCAGCCGGTGTGCTGTCGGGGTTAACATAGACGGAGTCTGTGTGAGATATACCGGGAATCTTTCTGATGTTGTCCTGTCCACGCTTGCGCTTCAAGGACGGGCCCGGCTTGTTGACGGCTTCGCCGGCGGTGCTACCGACAACGTCCGAGCTGTCTTGCTTCGAGACCAATTGGACCTTCTTGCGCAATGCGTCGGTCTTTTCTTGGAAGCAGCTGGTATCGACGATTGCTTCGTACATCTGCTTCACATACGCTCTCCGTTTCTCTTTGGTGGTGGGCCAAGTCGGGTCATCTTCGCGGGGCTTTGACTCCTGACGGAAGTGATGCTCGTAAGCTTTCCCCAGCGCCACCGCCTGGTTGGTGTCGTCAATTATACCGCGGTACGCGAATGTGAGTGCGGTTCGAAGTTCATTCTTGAGAAGCACATCTTGGTGGTCGGTGATCTGCTTAGCTTTGCCAGAGCGCTTTGTTGGCTTGATAGGCTCGGGCTGCTGCGGATCCTCTGAGGATGTCGCCTTCAATGTGTTGTTGTATGCGGTGATGATTTTCACGTAATGATCCACGATACCGGCGGACATGTTGCTTAGCCAAAAGGCAACATCTCTGCCAATCCGGCGGATGTCTGGGTTGGGTTCATTATGGAGAAGTGTATCGTAGAAGTCCACGGATGGAAAGGCCCGCGAGCCGTCGTTGAAGCGGTAAGGGATTACCTTATCTGGGGGCTTGTTAGAGGGACATAAGTAGTATTTCTTGGCCATGATGTTTACATACCGACAATTACGCCGAAGACGACCTTCCTCACTTCCAAAGAAGTCTGCTCGTCCATGACTTCATCCAGGAAGATGAGCAATGGGTCTTCTGCATTCTCGCTTGATCCGTCGTGCAGTTCTTCGGCGACATAGCTGTTGCGGCCAACGCCATCGGTCGGCAACGGAGCCGCGCTCGCAGGAATCGAAGCTGGATGTAGAGCGCTACCAGTCGGCTGACGCGACGAATCATGTTGGCTCGAGTCCGAGGGCTCGAGATTGTTGTTCCTAGTGCACACTGACGCGACTTGCGTGTCTGCGCCAGCGCGTTGATCGAGGAACAGCGGTAGACCATTAGCAATCCACGCGCCTCCATTCCTATTGATGTATCAGTAATCGCGCGAAACGTCGTGCAGGAGCTTCATTATCTCACTCGGTAGGTACAAGACCCAAAAGAAAGGGGTCGGTGTTTGGGTCGGCAACTTGATCTTGGAAAATCCACGGCCAGTCGAACTGGGCTTCATGATCCATATCCCCAAGAGGATGGGATTCCCACGTCGACTGGAGCGACATCTTGTGATTTTAGTACTGACAATTAATGGCGAGGTGTGCTTTCGGGAGTTTTGTTAAAGTTCTCGGGGCGTCTGACGCGGATGAGGATAGGGGTTGTATACGCAGAAGGGAGAAAAGTAGGTTGAGGGGGGCGAGAATCTGATGTGAAGAGTAAGAAGATTGGGCACCCGACGCAATTTTGAAAGTCGGAAAGTTAGAAGGTGCGCTCACGAAGTGTGGATGTATCTCCTCAGGCGTTGCTACGGAGGGTGTGGCGATGTTTATTTGGGAGTTGGGGTTGAGCCTCAGGCACTGTGTGAGAACAGTGCTGGACGTCGCGCCCTGCTTCCATGACGGGTAAAGGAATATCCTCGGATGGTTCGTATGTGCAAACCGCTCATCACAACTGTTTACGTTACTTAAGTACCTATATTCCCAAACCGAATAATGGTAGCAAGTCACGATGCAAAAGTCAACTCCCGGCGCTACATCGCAGCATGCTGAATATTAATGTCCAGATAACTCCCATCATGAGCCGCGTCGCTTCACCTTGAGACCACTTCTACAGTCTCCCGGAATACTATCTCCAAGTGTTTACTTGGCCTACCGCGGATGTATCCACGGTAGACACAAGAGCCGGCCCATCAGGAGGTCGGTTGGCTGTCAAGGGACCCCCTTTTTGTTGCCCGGATCAGGCTCTTGAAGGGGCGTCTCCGCCAGACGAGGGGCACGTAGTCTATGCACGAGATATGATCATATCAGAAGAAACGGAATATACAAGGTGCTGATATATGTGTGGGAGACAAGAACAACGACCTGATCGAGAGCCACGATCGAATTGTTTACAAGTTCACGGGCCCAATGCACAAGACTAACGCATCTATGGGACTCGTCACCAGAGCCTGAGAGGCAAACCAAAGTATGATCCACTGGCAAGAGATGGTGGTATCGGCAATAACTAAATCAATTTTCCCCCGAATTTCAATTATCAAAGTCAAGAATGTTACCAACCAGGCGCGCCCCCTTTTCCAAGCTTATGAGGGCCCAAAACGCGACTGGCACCGCGACCGGGCGTGTCCGACCTGTCAACCTTTTGGCTTGCCATCTTTCTAAGCTGTTAACACATGCCAAGAATTTCCCATCAAACGCCATCTCCCGTTTTCCATGTCTGTCTTGCTTGCCTAAGAGGTTTGCTCTTCGCGGCGAAGCGTCTCGCGGCCAATGCGATTCTGTACATTGCGCTTGGCATTGATGGCCTTGTTGCCGAGTTTAAGCTGTTGGAGAAGCGCGGTCAGCATAGGTATTTACCATAACCAAAGCGATGGAAACGCCTTACCTTTCTTTTGCCAGCTGGAGCAGCCGTCAATCGATCTCCGCAGTTCTGGCGCAACGAAGAGTGAACAATCGCCTTGTGATGCCGAGAACAAAGATGTATCAGCAACTACAAATTAGACAACGGGACTGAGCGGAAAGGCTTACCCGAAGGTTGGGTAACTGTTGTCCTTGGTCCGTTTTCCTTACTGAATAGTTTTTAGGAATGGATAAATCCAGCTCGAATCCTCCTGAGAAGAAAAATGATGCGAGTGATCTGATCGGGTTCAAGAACGCATATTATTAACTACTCGTATAACTATCGTCCTTGTGCTCTGTGAAACCCCATATTGAATCTTTCTACCTCGCGTATCCCGTTGAGTGCGTTACGCGTCGCCTGACCTTGCAGGTGGATACTCATTTGTTTCCCAGTGAGTTTGCTCTCGTTTTCTAGATCGTTGTGATTGGAGGTGTGGCGAAAAAGCCTTTCCCATGACTGTAGTGTCGAAAGCTACCAGAACCCTAATGCTGAGACAACCCCATAGCCCCTGAACAATGTAGAAACCCCGAAGAAAACGCAGTTCATATCAGTTATGCCAGGTGCAAATGTCTCGTCATGCCTTCGCATGGATCAATTGGTCTTGGACTGAGGTCTTGCACCGGTCTTCTGACGCTTCAGCTCCGCGCGACCAAGCTCATTTTGCACATCGCGGGTGCTATTGACGGACTTGTTTCCCAGTTTCATCTGGAAGGATCAGACACAGTAAAGCAATAAGAAATAGAAAGTCACATACCTTTCGCTCCCCAACAGGGCCAGCTGCGAGTCTGCTCAACCAATCTCCCCGTAAAGCAGAGTGAATGGTGACCTTATGATGCTTTGCGGAAGTCGGCCTTAACTGTGGCATGAAAGCGAGGGAAGGAAAGGGGAGAGCCAACTTACCCGCATGTTAAAGCAGATTTGATCCCATCGCTCCTCAAAGGTGTCGTACTGTTCCCATCCTGGGCAGCCATCCCCACTCCAGCGAAGCTTCAGTTCCCATCCATCCTGGCAAGATATCGCGGTACGCTGTCGTCTGTTAGCACAATCTTGTTATAAACAATAAGGATATGTGCTTACCAGGAGTTTCTAGCTCAGCAGCTCTACCTCGATGTTCTTGATGTCACATCGGGTTACCGTTCGGAGTAGGTGAGTTGGAGTACTTCTCGGATCCACGTACACAGCATCGAATGTGCTAAGCCCTGGGATCCTCTTCGGCATCTCTTGGCCCAGCTTTCACTTTCGTGAGGAACCAGCCTCGTCTCTGGCATCGGCTTCAGTAGTGATGCCGCGCTTGGTCTCCAGCTTCGCCAACCTTTCCAACGCGTACTTCTTCTCCTGGAAGTCTCGCATGTCGAAAATAGCCTCGCACATCTGCTTCACATATGCGCGGCGCTTTTCCCTTGTCGAGGGCCAAGAAGGATCCTCAACGTGGGCCGTGAAGGTTTGGCGCAAATGCTGCAAATAGGCCCTATCCAAAATCGAAGCCTCCTCGAGGTCGTCGATCAGTGCATCGTACCCAACTGTCAAGGGCCTCTCAAGTTCGGTTTTGAGCAACTGATTCTGATGGTCAGTGATACGAGAGGTCTTGGCTGACTTCCGCGTCTTCTTCTTCTCGCTCGCTGGAACCTTCTGCTGGCAGGTAGAGACGGCCGAGCGCAGTGATTGGTGATATTCAGTGATCGTTGCCGCGTAGTGGTCGGCCTCCTCCACTGTCAGTTGGCCAAACCAGGCGGCACACTCTGCACCGAACTTCTTGACGTCACTGCTCGCCTCGTTGTAAAGGAGCGTTTCGTAGAACGCTACACAGGGGAAAGAACTTGCACCGTCGCCATATCGATATGGGAGGATTTTGTCTGTTTACATGTCAGATGGTGTCCACTGTACGCGTCAATCTCGCGTCGAACATACCAACAATCACAGAGAACATCAACTTCTTCGTCTCTAAAGAGGTCTGATCGCTCTGCAGCTGTTCCAATCGACGAGAGAAAGCTTCTAACTCTGCACAACTGCCATTCTGATCTTGCAGACCACCAGGGCCATCGTGTAGGTCAAAAAGGGGTAAGTCATGCGACTCTCGAGTAGTAAGCTCGGGTGCCACTTCGGCTCTGCGAGCCTGGCCCGCATCAGCGAACGGGAAGGAGAACCGGGGGAATAACTGGACCCTCTCAGGCGTGTTTGGGTCTTGATAGGCTCCCTCGCCGTCTATAGCCTGGTGGTTGTCCAAGTCGAGGAGCCCTTGAACGTAATTATCGGCGAGAAGGCCTTCTCCACTGCAGACTCGTCAGTCGGTTTTGGATGCGATTGTGGACGAAATCATGTATCAAACTCACAAATCTGAGGCATCCACTGCATTCAGAGTTGCACCTTTGTAACAACCTTCGTCCGGGATCGATGAGAAATGGACGGCCAGCGAGGATGCATTCAGAACTTCGTGGCTGATCTGCCGCGGCATTTTGTTCTCGCGATGTCTTTGGGGCGTGGAGGCGATGATCAAGAAGAGTTCAAAATAAGACCTGAGACGGCTTAGTGTAAAAGATGACCAGAATTTTGATCCCAGTCCGCGTTGTGGAAAGAGGTTGGGAAGTTGAGAAGGGGAGGATGGTTGCTGGGGTTTCCCAGAGCGACGAAGTGTGGGTGTGAACACAGCCTCAGGCACTGTGGGAGGCGAGAAGTGTCGGGTGGCGGAACCACCGCTCAGCCACATCGCGCCCTGATATTGGCTTCCAAGAATACATCAAGAGGCAAAGGATGTATCACAGTTAGGCTGCGGTGCTTTCATGCCTTTTTGAGGAGTCCGCAGGTTCATCCTCTTGCGATCTGGCCATCAGCCTTCCCAGCAAGATCGAGTCGAACGCCAAATCGGCGGTTGATCCCAAGTTATTATCATGGATAGGGAAGCCCCAAGCCCATCTGCTGATAGCTTTTAGGACTTCGCATCAGTACTTTCTACAGTCATGCCAGAGCGAGCACTTCGTATGCTGGCCGGCCAGTTTGAATATTTCTGCGCAGTGTCGCTCAGGGTCCTTGTTTTGGGGAAGCCAGTCAGTGCGATGCTTAGGCTTTCCGCGATTCATCCGCAACTCCATGATCATTTCTGCCTCAGGTCCAAGCTGTATTCTGCATTTTATCAGCGGTTGCGGCGCGACGTGCTGCCAGTATGACGAGCCGCTGATGTCCTTACGCAGGCTGCTTGGGTTCATGCTGTTGAGATCCTAGCGGCTGGGAGGCAAATCAATGACCTCAGCTCTTCCCAGGCCAGCAAGATGTATCCTCGAGGATCGTTTCCTCGGAGTATATATCCGAACTTGCAAGACGCGAGTTCTTGTACAACGCCGCTTGCCAGAAATCGGTAGCACTTGTATTGGAAGGCTGTTCCGGTCCCCAGATCATGTGTTTCCTATGATATTTACGCTATTCCATAGAACAATTCTTCAAGGTAAGGAGGAGAGTCCATGAATACCGATACGTTATTCTAAAGGATTTGATTGATGAAAAAGGCTTTTATATTCATTCTCAAGCAAACGTTGGTGCCCCGGCCATCCCTTCATGCGCCCACAACTCTCAACCGCCAACGCCAAGCAGTAAAGCTATGAGATGGCTTACATGGCCCCCTTTTCCTGCTGAGAAAGCTACAATGAAAGAAAAGGCGGGTCGTTGTTCACTTGAATGACGTCCACCTCGCCGTTAGGGACTTCATCCCTACGTTAGCACTGTTTTAATCGGCGCCTTCAAGATCATCTCGGCCAGGGGGTGTGACTTTGGTACATCTACAGCGGATCTTGCGCGACTCCTAATCGGACAAACACCACACCAAAACCCCAATCCAAAACAATTGAACCGTAGTCGGGGGTCAGGTGCCTGCAGCTGCGTCGTCGGCAAACCCAGTATTGTGGTCAATCATTTGGGGCGCCTAATGGACACAGTGACCCCAAGCAATCTCTCAGCATCTTCCAAACAGATGATGTAGAAAAGGCACCTGCCAGAATGTTGAAGCGAATCAAACGCAATGTCTCCAACCAATTTCAATGTTTCTCTGCTATCACGCAACGTCCGAGGATTTGCTTTGGTCGCCCTCTCCCTGCGTCAATGTGCCACTCTGCAGCTTGGCGTTCGCTTTGTTGAGCACATCTCTGCCAACCTTGTTCTGGATGTCTCGCTTCGTGTTCACGGACTTGTTGCACATCTTGAGCTGAAGTCCGCAGTTGGAGAAAAGAGCTGGGCTCAGCAAGGTGGGACGCTTACCTTGCGCTCGCCAATGGGTGCACCTACCAGACGTGTAGTCCACTCGGCGGCCAACATTGAGCGAACCATAATCTTGTGATGCTGCCAGGTAAATACGTCAGCACCGCTCAAGGTCGGGTATCGATAAATTGCCAGGACCTGACTGATCTTCATATTGTAGCACAATTGGGACCAACGGTCAGCGAAGGTTTCATACCGCTCCCAAGCTGGAGTACTGCTGCCAGCCCACAATGGCTGCATCTCCCAGCCCTGCTGAGCGTTCATGGCCGATACCTGGAACTTTGTTAGAACCCCTTCCCTGCAGATAGGAGGGATACCCTACCAAAAGCTCCTAGCCCTGGATTTCGATCTCAACATCAGACAGCTTACGGCCCACGGCAGCTTCCAATTTCTCGGAACTGGTTTTCTCCGGGTTGAGGTAGACTGCCTCGGATTTGTTCGGCGCGGGAGGCTTTGTATGGGCGGTGCCACCCCTCTTCCTCTTGCCAGATCCTTCCACGGCATCGTATTCGTCTAGGGCTTGCTTCTTTGCAAGAGCAACGCGCTTCTCCTCGAAGTCGGATAGATCGACGATTGCCTCCACAAGCTGCCGGATATATCTCCGATCGTGTTTAGCGTCAGCGGGCCAGGTTTGGTCTTCGGTAGTTTTCTTCGACTCCTGGCGAAGAATCCTCATGTATTCTCGCTCAGTCTGAAGGAATAGACTGGAGTCCCTAATGAGACCTCGGTATTTGAAAGAGCATTCCTTATTAACCTCTCGCATCAATGGGGGAATATGATGATCGATGACCCTCGCAGAGGTCTTGCTCGTCTTCGACGCCTTCTTGGACGTCTTTGTGGCCTGGCTCGAAGTTGACTGCGCTTCTGAAGCCTGAAGATGACCGCTCTGAGTCTGCCTGGTTCCGTCATTCTGTGCCTCGGGCTCCAGTCCGGGCTGAGGGATTGGAGATACAATGGTCTGTCGCAGCACCCTAAGCGTCTCGATAGTGTCGTCTGCTGCCTTCTGCGATGCCAGGTGAAAGTACCCGGCACAGCGACGCACCAGAGGCTGTATCTCATTGCTGTCCTCCTCGTTGTGCGTCAAGTGGATGTAAAACTCCACAGGCGGGAAAGCACGATCACCGTCGCAATAGCGGTACTTCAGGATATTGTCTGTGATGTTCATCAGTCTTTGCCAGGCAGATCAGTGCGATGTATTACGAATTAAACATACTGAAAATGACGGCAAGTGCCCTTTCCTTCCATTCGAAGCTGGTGTCAGGACTTTGGAGAGCCTCCATATCTTGAATGAAAGCGGGCTCGGGGCCCTTCTCGTCGATGCTCTCAAGACACCTCTGATCTTCGCGCTGCGGGGCTCCTTGAAGCTCCTCTGGGTCTATCATCTCGTGTTCAACGGCGGAAACAGGGTTGAATATGTGCAATCCGAATAGATCTTGCAGATCTTGGCAGTTCTGGTCGTGAATTGTAACGCCTTCCTCTCGAGGATGGTCGTACGTGTAGAAGCTGGGTGCTTCATGGTCAATTTCGGCCCATTGTACAGTGGCGCACTCGTCCGCACGCCTCTCTGCATTGTTACTGTCGACGATCTCATTAGAGGACTGCCCTCAGATTCTCACAAGCAGGCTGGGCGAACTCACCCAGAGAAGTCTCCGTTCGGGATTTCCTGCTGGTGGGGAGAAGCTGCATCTCCTAGTCCCGTATCGCACGCGAGGAGCGCCGGGTCTACCGTCGAATGAGACCATACAAGGTCAGGCATGATTGTTATGGTATATACCTGAACAGGATGCGTCTAAAGGGAATGATTCTCGGGGGGTCAGGAGTTGTCGAAATCAGACGCGGTGGTAGATGGGGAAACAGCAAGAAAGGTGGTCGCGCAAACGACGCTTAAATGGATACGTATTTGCGTGAAGACGTGGGGAAAGGAGTAGTTGCGAGAAGGCGACGGCTGGAAGAAGATAGCGCGTGGGAGGTGACGTTGTCTAGGAGACCACGAGCGGCTCGTACGGTAGGGGCGAGTAGACGCTTGAGGCATCAACTACTGTGGCCGGGCCAGGCATGCTCGATGGCGTCTTCAGGCAGACTCTCCGGTGGTCAAGTCACACTTTGCTCTCGGCTTTATGGGTGGCCTTGATATCTACTCCACGCTTTATCCTGAATTTCGCCACGCTGATTACGGTCCATCTATTCCAATCTCGTGGGGGACGGGTGCCGGTTGTAGTCAGAGGGTAGACGACACAACGTCAGACATGATTGGTCTTATTCCGGGTGTATCCAGGATGGAAGGACCCTTGACAACTAATGACTGTAGAGAGACTAATGTATGGGCAGTGCAAGTTGACAGACGGGGTAATTTGATCAGAAACGTTTGGATACATCATAAAGGGATCCAAGTTCATTCTAGACTAGGTCGCTGCCCGTGCGACGCTCTCATGTTAAAACAAAAACGGCAACTCGCAAAGTCATGCTGTGTGACTCCAGTGTGATATGTCCCTTGATCCAAAGGGCCCGTGGCCCCCAACGTTTGATGTTCTAGACCAAAGGCACCATCGCGCCGTCCTATGACGCGACCGCGATGCGGGTTTGCTTGAACTGGGAGGCAATCTGGTCCCGTGGCGCGATGAACTGCGTCAGGATGATGGTAGTGCCACCGAGGGAGACGTACGCCGGATAATTGAACGCGGTCGATTCGTCCGAGCCAGTGCCTGCTACGTAAACGACATCCTGTTTCCTCAATACCTCTTCCTGGTGGGAGTGAAGTTTGTCGCCGGGACGGCGGGTTATGGCGCGGAGCATGTCGTATAGTGTCGGTGTTCTATTTCTAAAAGGAGGTGTGTAAAGTATATCTAAGCTGTGGTCAGAATTATAGGTTGCGCGATACAGAAGATAATAACCGCCGGCGGCCACGCCCTTGGAAGCTCGCGGAAAACGCAGGTCAATGGCTTCGACAATGGTCATTTCATAAGTTATGCCTTCTATTGGCGTCTTTGCTAAAATATCGCCGTTGAGGTACCGCATGGAGGCCCCGCGTTGCGCGTCCCCGTCTGGATCCAATTCGACTGACACCACCAAGAGATCATTGTCTCTTAGCGAATATGCGTAACATCTTTCTCAATGCATCTTCTAGACTACTGGCGTTGTCGACTGAAGCAGTTCGTCGCGCATTCTCTCAAGGACTCCGGAGAAATCTCGGTGGGATGCTGGTCAGGCCAACCTGGTCGTGCGGAGTGACCATGATCGAGTCCTATCGAGTCGTTCATACTGCTTGGTATTCTTATCGGCTCCGAATCCCAAACAAACTGAGCTGTTCTGTGCCCTGGCCGAATCGCTTTGTATAAACTTTCAAACCCAAGAGACAATCAAACTTGCGGTTCTCGAAGCCTTTGTTCCAAGCCTGGAAGCATTTGGTTGCCGGCCCGGGGTCACTTTGTCTTGATCCTGTGCAGACTCGCCACCCAACAAAATCACAGCGAAGGGCATTCGCACTACTTTGAGCCGACGGTAATTATTCTTCCATACATTGGGCTTTGCCGGTTTGGTGCCATGGGCGAAACCCCGGAGATTGTATTCGATGTGTAATAGATTTCAATGAAAACAGTCTTGCGGAGTATTTCTGCGGGAAAATACGCTTTGAGTCAGGTTTGGATATGCCCAACTTCTTTAGGCCGGTTATCTGCACGATCTGCAGATCGAAGAGGGGCGCGCCTTTTTGATTTTCGAATTCGTCTTGGGCGATCCTCGCGCCGCACCCGCCGCAACGACGTATTCAAAGGCGCGTCATGGTACGGCAACGGCGATATCTGTGTTTTGTAAGTCAGCGAACTGTTCTGGTCAGTCACAATTCAAAACGCACCATATGCTATCTCAGTAATACGCAGGCTCTTCTGCACAACGTCCTGACAGCTAACGCGTACGTAGAACGTTACGAGCCCTATTCGCTCACTGCGCCATAGGTTAGAAAACCGAATACCCAATCTTTGAACAAGGGATTAACCCACGCTGTTTATCGTTCCATTCACCCGTTTCTTTGGCTCCATGGTCACGTCACATTCAGGACGGCGTTGTCGCTAGCCGTTGATCTCCCATGTGTAGGTTGGGTAGACCGCCCGCACCAGGTTTTCGAATCCGGTTCTCCGTTCGCCCGCTGAAAGCGAATGGCATTCCAGAGAAACAACATAATGCCCCAGTTTGAAAGATCGTTCTCACTAATATCCGAAACGGCGGCCCAGGGCGGCGAGGCCGCCATTTGTTTCTTTCTTCCCCGAAGTCTAGCTCGGCAATCGGCCAGACTGAGCGCCCTTCACATCGACGTCCATGTCCAAGGATATCAATACCGCCGAGTAAAGATTCTCTGAGATCTCTAAGCGTCGCTCAACAATGCGCACTCCTCGTCTCAGACAAGGCCATATTTATAGATACACCATTCTGGGCTGTCCTCCATCTCCCCACGATGTGGCTGGTGGCATCGTATACGGTCTGACAGGCGTCGGGCCCGGGGCAACAGTAAATGCTTATCAACGATATTGCCAGGTATTATTTGGAAATTCGCAGCGTAAAAGATCCTCAAAAGGACTGTAATCTTCCGGCCATTCTCATTGTGTAGAAGAACATGATGAAACATCTCAGAAAGGCGCTTGCGGGATCTATCCCGGAAGCGGTGCTTGACTGCTTCTGTTACGTGAAAGGTCAGCCATCGTGTTTTCAATCACCAGAGAGAGCAAAGTCCTACCACGAATCGTGTCCATCATACTGCACATTTCGACTCGCTCAAGTCTTCGCGTCCCAATCGCGGCCGATGTCGTTCTCGAAGTCGTGGACGCTCTGGGTGACCAATACGGGATGCTGAGTTCCTGAAAAGACCAGTAGAGCGTGAACGCTTGGTCATCTAAGGCGTCGAGATTACGATAGGGTTCATGACTAGTTATAGTCTTGGTCAGTCTACAGTTTCACTATTTGCCAATGGAGAGAGTGCTCACAAGCTTGCAACGATAGTACTGGTGTTAATCTCAAGCAGAATCAATCCGTGTTCCAACTCTTCGTGGGTCTGACAAGGGGCAAGCCCGCACACACCGCTTTCCATGGCGGTGCGGTACTCCTGCCGTCTGTCCTCTTGCGTCGTGATAAGCTTGGGCGCAATCGTCTTGGCCGCCCGTGCCTGGGCCTCCGCCGCCTCAGACATGCCCATCAGGCTCTCAAAGGGCACGCCGAGCTGCGCTATGGTCGTCTTATCGTGGCTCTGAAAGGCTGCAACGTACTCGTCGCTGTAAATGATCTCCAGGACGCCGGGATCAAGGGCTTCCGCGGTCTCGTACCTAAAGGCAGCATCCCACATAGCGCTCAGGTAGCCCCTCAGGTCCTGGATTCCACTGGCCGTCGTTTACTTATATCCGTCGTGGTATGCGAAAAGCAGATATGCTTTCCGAGTTGTAAGTTGCTCGCGATTGTTCTGCAATGCAAGTGATACTTCACTGCTGAGAGAGCCGGTGACGAATTTTTTTCGACGGAATACGCGGTGATCAGGACAACAGGGGATTGAGAGGCGGTAATCAGGATGGAGAAAAACGCGTTGAGCCTCAGAAGACACGCGATGAGGAAGGTGAGAGACCTTGGAGGTGGGACCCACTTGGGGTGAGGTCGCCTTCGTGGCGCCCAATCAGGTCTCTCTTCCATTCCACGTCAGGCAACCTTCTCGCGCCCCCATCCCACCCCCTGCTCTCCTACTCGCGAATAGGGTCCAGGGTATGAAGGGCCGGTCCTTGAGATACGAAGTAGTTTCGTTTTAGCTGAGCAGTTCGAGAAACGAGATCAGTTGCTCCAAAGAAGTATCATCTCCACGGAGTGCCTGGCTTTTTGCACGAATGCCCCGAATGCGTAGCTGGCCTCGCTGGCCTCTCCGCTCCGGCCACACTTGAACCCAGACCCAACAGACCATATTGATCAGCCATACGCAGCATATCCTATTCGGCATCTATTCGCCGCCGCTTATCTCTTACTCCTCGTCAGAACCATCCAGCTCTAGCTGGGAGGCCTGCGTCACATCGACGTCAGATTCATCCGAGTCGGAACGATCCAACTCATAGGCCTCCACGATGGCGCCTGTAATATGTCGAGACCAGTGCTCTCCCATCACCTCTGAGAGTGTCAGGCTCTTTATAACCGCCTTTCTCTTGTTATAAGCAGGTACACTAATAAGGGAGCCGACGCTCTCAGGGAGCGGGCGAGCACATTGAGGCAAGCCTCCAGGCAAATCAATGACTTCATGTTTCAACACCGGCCTCAGTTATAGCGAGAGTGAGATACCTGCAGGTCCTAGATTATGCCACTATCAACTTTGGCATGCTCCTTCAAACAAGTCTGCAGTGCATCCTGGGAGGTGTAGGGGACTTGACCACGGTCCCTATAGATATTGTCTGGGCGGGTGACTGCGTGCCGGATGGCCGGCGGGTTGAATACATGCACCCGGAGCCCGGATTCAGGTATCATCAGGAACATTCTGACGAAAGCTTTGTCCTTCTTGTAGTGTTCAAAACGCATGCTTGTTGCGCTTCACGGAAGGTCTTCTGTGCTCCATCGTGGGCCCGGCTTTGACACCTTTTTTATCGATCAGAATCGATGCTCCATCTCTGGAGTTTTGCGCGTTTTTCCCCTCCTTCTTCTTGGCTGCGCTGTTTATTTCGACAAGCACTGGCAAGTATGCATCCATCGACGCTCAAATTCCAGCAGTATCTGATTCTCATCACGGATAGGAAGCACGTAACGTGGGTGAAAGCGGCGCTTGGATCGCGAAAACCGCGCAGAGGACGACGAAAAGTCGAGAGCAGTTGAGTAAGTAGAGGCTTTAGAAGGGAAAACGCTCAATTTTGGGGCTGTATTGACTCGCGATTTTGAGCGATGGGCTCATAACCTGAGGAAGTGCGAGCAGCCCAGAACGCACAGAATGCCGTGATAGCGAGGCCAGGTGCCGCCACACCGCCCCTCATGCCCCATAGCCTGCCAGCATCTTCTGCTAAAGGTGGGTACAAAGGTGTGAAAATCCCAGAAATCTGGTATCGAGCCGAAACGCCCAGGTCTGACGAGCTTTCAAAGATTTCAGCATCTCGATCAGTCCCCGGGTATATCCCTGTTCGCCTGTGGGCAGGTGCTACCACAAAGAACTATGGGCCCGATTGTGAGGATTGAGGCTATTCCCAGGCCTTCGTGATGGGCCCTCGGCTCATGACCTATCGAAGCGCGTAGATTAGAGCGACTATGGTAGTTTACGGATAAATATTAGAGGGAGAAGAATCCTAGATGCTGGGTTGGGAATGATGAATTCAGTACCGACTCGCGTGTCTGTGTTTTACGGCGCTGCAGAGGGCAGGCGGCGGTGCTAGCAGTACTAGCCGCGGCATGAAAGACCACTAGATACCCTAGGTTTGGTTCTTTTGATCACCAGACACCATCAGACCGATGGAGGCCTTTATGGCGCCGACGCACCATCAGCCGTCATTATGGAGTACATTGTAACTTATAAGAGATATCAGTACTGGTGCCAAGGTGGAGGGCGCTGTTCTTTGTTTTTCTGCGTTTTCGTCTTCACCCTCGGTTGCTGCTTACTGTAGCAAGCGGCCTAATAACTTCACGTGGGCTGTGCATGAGGACCAAGGGGATGCTGTTTTTGAAGGCTTGACGCTGGCAGCCTTCGTTCCCACTGGCAATGATGAATAGCCCATGAAGATGAGGCGGATATTCAATAAACATTTAGAGAAATTAGTGTCTCTTATGATGATACAAAAGGTGGTGACCACTCCGCTGCACTGTGGTCCTGGCTTTCGTTATGGCTCTGCCATTGCTCGCAAAGACAGACCCATTCATCATGGACAGTAAGAATGATTGGGAGGTTAAAAGATTAAGGTTTTATGCTATGGTCGAAAGGCGATAATGCTGATTATGTTGTTTCTGATGACATATGAACCCAGACTGCATCCAATCCACAAACCGCCATGTGTTGTGCTTGACTCAGTATTCAGATGGCCAATAGAAGAAGCCGTTTTATTAAGAAAAGCAAGTCTTGGTAGAATAAGAAAACGAATTGCCAGAACTAAACAAAGCCTCCAGCTGTCATAAGTCATAACGCGGAATGAATCCAAGTTGCAAATGGGAAAGGCCAGCAAATGCAAAAGCAACAGAACCAAGCCCCATGGTACAAAAAGCCCCTAGTCTATGCAAGCAGCAGCAAACGCCATACGCCAACATGATTCTACACTTTTTGCCGCTTTGCAAGCTGTCTTCGAGTCCTGTCGCTGATTTGGTTGCCTTGGTGCACCAGGCTCCCCTCTCTTGTGCGGATTTCAAAATCCTCTGATGCCTGCCACTCCTCGTTGGCTGTTCTCTCGCGGATCACGTCGCGTCCAACCTGGTTTTGGACGTCGCGACGGCCATTGAGAAGGTCGTTACTAAGCTTGGCCTGGACAAAGCATTAGAAATGTGTCAAGCTCACAATGAATGTAGCACAAGAGGCCAGCACTTACCGCCCGTTCCTTGTTCGGCGCGCTAGCAAACTTTGAGAACCAGTCTGCTCGGAGAAGTGAATGCACGAGAATCTTGCAGTCCTGCGACCGAGAATATTAACTCATATCACAGTTATAGTCAGGCGAAAGGATATACCAAGAGCTCTCCGCACATCGCTGACCACCTCTCGCCAAACGTATTGAACTGGTCCCACGTTGAGACAGTGCGATGGCCTGACCACATTGGTTTCATTGTGAAACCCAGTTGGGCATCCTCAGCAGCCAGCTAGAAAGAGTGTTAGCGGAGTGTACCTGAGGATATTTGAACAACCAGAAGAGGTATACATACCAAAAGCCTCCAGCAGGCGATCTCAAGCTCCACGTTAACGATCTTGTGGTGGATGACAGCATTCAGACGATCCATAGATGAGTTTGTCTCGCTCAACAACTCCCAATCGGCCTTACTCAGGCCCTTGGGTCTTTCGGATGCGTTGCTGTTCGTCGCAGTTGTCTTGCGCTTCCTGCTGTCATTGTCGCTTGACCCCTTTTCTTGTTGCGCGGCGCCATTCGAGACCTTTGCCATTGCCTTTGACATGCGCTCCCTGGCCTTGCGCAGCTCAAAGAAGTCGTCGGTCTTGACAATGGCCAGGTACATCTCCCGGACGTATTCAACGCGCTTCTCTGTGGTCGATGGCCAAGAGGGGTCTTGTTCAGGAGCCGTGCCAGGGGGCCGCTTCACGTGCCGATTGTAGGCCTCGTCGAGTTCCTGGAAGTGGCTCAGGTCCCGGATTACTCCTTCGTAGGCAGGGGTGGCGGGTCTCTGCAGCTCTGCTGCCAAGAGAGGATGGTCAGGGACACGGCTCGTCGTCTCTTTCGGGGCCCTGGTGCGGTAAGTCTGCGGCTTCGGCTGCGGCGTTGTTGGTACGCTTTTCTCAACCGAAGTCCCGGGAGGCGAAGGGTACTCAGGCAGTGGCAAATCGATGGGGGCCAGCGCTCCAAAGTCAATGCCTAGTCCGAGGTTGTTGTCGAGTGCGAGGTCGCCGCCGATTCCGAGACCGAGATCGATACCAAGGTCGCGTTTCATTTGACGCAAGCTCTCGATTGCTTCGTCTGCCATTGCAGGACTGGAGGACGCAAGACCATAAATCCAGCTGTGGAAGCGTGTAACAAAGGCCCAAATCTTCATGAAGTCCTCTCGATTATTGAGCAAAATGCCATAGAAGCTAAGCTCTGGAAAGAGGCGAGGTTCCTGGTGGAATCGATAGGGAACGATCTGGGCTGCGTTACGATCAGCATTCTATTCTTAGTGGGTAGGGGCTCTGGCATACAAAGAATGACGTCCAGCATCCATTCTTTCTCGGTCGAGGGAACGAGAGGGTCCTGAAGAATGTCCAGATCAATCTGGAACGTGGCGTCCATGTTGTGCGCGATCGTAGTAGGAAGTGATTGTATAGAAGAATCAGGGATCGCGGAGGGGGTTTGAGAGTGTGGAGGTGTGAAGGACAAGTAGGTAGGTTGGAGGTGAGGGAGGTTGAGTTTGATCGTGGAAAATTTTGTTGTGGACAGGACCCGACCTGGAAGACGAAGGTGGGAGATTTATGCTAAAGAGAAAGTTCCCAGGTGAGCCTGAGGTCGCCGCAGTGATTGAGGTCAAGGTGAGCTGAGTGAATCCCCAGCCGCCATCGCCAACCTCAGACGACTTCCCAAAAGGGGAATAGGCGAGCTCGACGCGTCGAAAAACCTTCAGATGCGTCTACAAGACCTCTGAAAGGTGAGAATTAACAGCTTCCCATGCCGTCCACGTCCTTCATCTGATAGAAAAGGGGCATCACGGGGTCGCAGGTGAGAAACCTGTCAGTAAGTAACATAACGAAGGTGAAGCCAGATGCCCTCCAAGCACACTCTGCAGACCACAAGGTGTGCCATTAATCAGAAATGATGCCTATTCTACGTGCGTGCAATATTATCTGATGAGATGTGCCGGTGCAGGTAATCTTCTCTCCAGTTGATTCGGCGAAGCTCGCCTTCGATTGAGCCTCTCGGTTTTGAGCTTCGCAGATCTCGCAACGTAGACGTATATAGAAGCGGCAGGATTCCATCCTGAGATGAATTGGATACATTCAATACGCGCCTTGAGTAGCCCGACGAGGTCCTTACGTCGCGCCTTGTGTGGACGACTCACGCTGCCAATCCCAAGAATTCGATTCGTCTGTACAAACATGTCGACTTGTTCACATTGCCATGATCTTTCTGTGTGATGAGGAGCACGATCGAGTGATTCAAGAGCCGTTGCTCCCAAAGAAATTGTCCCCAGGGCAAGATATTGGAATGAACCCCGTCGCTGCGAAGGATCGCGTGCCGTTTCTCCCTTCAAGTAGATCCTACGGAATCCAACGAAATCTGACCATAGAGAGCAGTCTGCTGATTGTAGAGAAGTCAGCCGCGAGAAGATTACCATGAATCAGAAACATCTAACTCCTCATCTCCGGGTAAACGTGCAGTGATGGCCCAAGCACAAGCGAACAAATTGCCCCAGGATCAACCATCACCAAACTTAATTGGCGTAGAGCCACCGGCTCTGTTATTATGTCCCAGAACTGTCTGCCTGCCTCCAATTCTGTCTCCCATCTGAGATCTTTTGACGATGGCTCGGCCCTTTGTTGCACGAATCTCCAAGTCATCCGTGCTTTGTCCCAAGACATTTAACGTTCTGGAGAACTTGCGAGTGAAATTAGAAACGTTACCCAACCATGGGCGTGTGATATGATTGCAAAGGGACCGTCCTTTTCAAGATTCGCGTTCGTGGCCACAGGCTATTACGAGAAGAGCTGCGTGTATTGGGGCTTCATGAACAGTATCGCCAGAGGCTTTGCGAGCGACGTTGTCGGCCCAGCTAAGGTGCTTGTAGATTTCAAGGATTTGCTTCCGCTTCGTAGTCGCATTTCGTACGTGTTCAATGACTGCCGCTTGGATTGTCGTCGCGCTGACTGCGAGGACCCTGGCCGCTCGGAGAATATCCCTTGTCGACTATGGGGAATAGCATTTGTACGAAATGACATCGAAGTTGGTTGGCTTTAATTTCCGATGAGACACTGAGAATAAGGCTGTTCAAAAAGAGTTCCCTGAGAGAGAAACAGAAATAGCTCGGGTATGAATGCGATCTCGTATATGGCTTTGATCGTTGCCGCTCGCGCGCTGGTCGATTAAGGGCCCCTGGCACCTCTCACAGTACTTTCCGCGTACCTTGGACCATTACTGTTACCAAGCGCTCAAGATCGTCGTGGATAGAATTTCCCAGTCGCCAAGAGAAAGCATGCGAGACGCGTCAGGAGTCGCGTGGAATTGGTAGCAGAAGGATAGGAAATGAACAAGTGGTCTCCAAGATAAAGGCAGCATTGAGACCGCCTTTTTTGGCGACGTTCTCGCCGACGTCTTGGGCGGCAACGACAGCCCTAGAAACCCAGTTCAATACCTTCGTAAGATCAGCTGAACGAGCACATCGGTGTTGCTACTTTCTACGACTGGGCCGCGCCTCCAAAGTAGAGGCCTCCAAGAGTACCACCTCGCCGACCGGCCGGTATGTGCATGAGGTGGCGGACCTCGTTCTGTACCTCCGGCATGCCCATGTTGATGAAGTGGGCGTTTGGCACTACTTCCTCGGGATAAATGATGATGTGACGTTTGGGACAATCTGGTTGTCCCGGGTAAGACCAACCATTCTATTCTCATGGTCAGTTTACCATGGGGCGCGAAAAAGGCGAGGACAATCGGGATATTGTCCTGGCTAGAGACTCACCAGTGTCATCACGTCCACGTTGTCACGTTCGCGGCGTAGGTAATCGATCCAAACCAACCAAATGAAATCATTGTACTCTATGTGAATATGATTAGAGAAAGCAGAGTTCAGCGTAGCAGGGATATCTTACCATCGTTCTCAAAAGATCACTTCCTGAAGCAAGCAATACATGACACAATCAGTGTCGATATTGTATTAGACGTCCCCGATGCATTTGCCTCGACACCAGATATGCAATGTGGAGCGAACTTTCTGATGACCGGTTGCTTGAGTGTCAATTTGGTGATTCTTGAATGTCCTGTCGCATTTTCCAATGTCCTTGGACAAATGGCCCGGGGTGAAGCACCTGGTATCTCCTCTTTGGCAATGAGTTCAAAGTCTCAGTTGAATTCTCTTTCGCCGCTCTCGCCGAACCCTAATCCGGTTGCCCCGATACATTGTATAAAGCACTGGCGTGCCTAGCCGCCATCCATGATTGGGCTCGCTACATTGTCGGGTTGGGTATCGCCACCGGCTTCGTCCCAATGCCAATGCCGCGTGGTAGTGAACAGGTTTCGACGTCCCGTCGAGGACCCTATTTTCCATTGCGCACGTTGTGCCCAAAAAGTAGTTCTTTAGATCTTCCAAGAAATTCCTTTTTTGTCGGGATTATCGTCGCTCCGGAAACCCCTTCCGCCTTCCTGGTAGATCGCCGGGCATTCGTCCCAACTATCCTCAATGTCATCCATATAAATGGTGAAGTGGTAGGCGTCCGGGTTATCCTCACCCGGCAATTCACGTGCTGTTCCATCACGCAGCAAGTAACTCATCGTGAATCGAGCCCCCGATACTTGTTTCTTACCCCAATGTCTGAGAATCGCGGAAAGGACATCTGGAGAGTCTATTGCCAAGATGTTGGCTGCCGTGGTGTCCACATACATCGGACGGCGCGAAGTGACATGGCAAGTCCGACTTATATCCCGCATCAAGGTACTGCTTGGTACCCTCTGCAGTCGACGGACCCGGCTTTACATACATAAGTGGAGGAATATGTGAGATACTGTGGCATCGTGCAAACAGAAAAGGCAGTCGCCCGGTAAGCTATCAGGTAAGCTTCAAAGGTATTTGTACGTCGGACAGTCATCCCCAGTCATGAGACTAACGAGGTGGTTTCCCACTGTGAGGATGCTATCATTTGTTTTCTTCGTCGACGTTACCGCTAAATGCCTAGCTTGTTTCGGGTCCATTGCGTTTTTGACTGTCGCCTTTGGTCATGCTAGAGGAGGGGAGCATGAATAGGAGGTTAACGGCCGCCGTTCGTGCTTATGAGCTGGAGACTGTCTTCAGGAAGCTTATCGTGCTGTTGGTAATTTGTTGACTGATACTTTCCCGCCGTTCCAGCAGGGCGCGAAGTGACCGAACATCACCAGGTAAACCATAGTCACTGGAGGGGGCCTTGATGAGATAGCCTCTGAATCCAGCGGCTGGTTTACCCACCTTGCGCCTGAGTTACGATATTCGTCTCATTTCGGGCAAAAGAATGATCCGCCCTGACGTATCTCTCTATTATCCACGGCGTGGTTAACGGTGCCAAACTCCCGAAGTATTCGCAGCATTGCGAAATATTCGCATATTCGTTACTCTGTACCGCGTGCTAGGCGTGCCATATCAAACTGAAACTTTGGCTCTTCTTTTCAGCCTTCGTAGCTCGAGCCGGCTGTGCTTGAGCTCCAGTCTAAGTATTCAATCTCAAAGACGATAGCCCCCGAGGAAAATGCAACGTAGATGTGCAAAGTGCAGTGAAACGTTGTGGCACGACCAGTGCTTCGTGCCTTCCTTCGCTGCTTCCTTCGCTGCGTTCATCTCCTTGCGTGGGTTTATTTTCGCATACGTATCAATCGGGCTTATATCGATAGTCGGCTGCCCATCGCGACATTTTCTTTCGCACTCGAGCGCTAGATGAATACTGGGAGGTACCTGTCCAGTTACTCCAAGCTGCCGCCGTCAAAATAGGCGAGGGCCCCGGGCTCGGCGCAATGGGGCGAACTCATGAAAATACTCCGGAATTAGTTACACATGAGAGCTTGGCGATTGTTATATGGCAAAAGATTGTGCCAAACAAAATAACAGGTTGTTTACAATTACGATAAACCCAGGTTCAGTTTGCTCCAAAGGACGACATCCCCAATGCCGAGGAGACTGACGGTTAAGGCGAGGCCAGTATCTTTTGTCTTCGTCGACCGTGGTAGTTGTAATGCAGATCTTTCGTCTTTGGTCTGCCGCCTACATCTTGTAGGCTGGAATGCATGAGTATCGCTAGCTATGCCACATGTAGATATTGAGTTGTTGTTCTTTGCGTTGTTGAAGGAAGTGTTGATCGAGTGGCCCGACCAAGACACTTGGCGGTGCCTGTGTAAGGTACCGTGCCTTCGGAATCCCAACACAGCGACAAACGCCGTGTCAGCACACATGAATTATATGTATCTTAAGCTTTTTCCGCATGGTGGTCATGAAAGCAGGAGAAGTCGACGAGGACGGTGTAATTTTTGCCCCGAGGATGATGAACGTTTTCAACTTCTCAGGAGTGAAGGTGTTGTGTCGTTTGTATTCTAAAGGGAGTATAACATATTGTTTCATAGTCGTA